GTTCCTGCCCTGATGTCGATGGATGGGCTCACGGCCCTTGCTGGCTCCCAGTTGAGATCCACCCTGCAGAACATCAAGTCTTCGGGCGACCCGGTGATTGACGCAGGGGTTTGGGCCAAAACGGCTGAGGAGACTAAGAAGGGTTGGCTTGTTGGGCCGCTGTCATTTGAGGAGGTCGGTTCATTGCATGATTGCACATTGACCCGGAGGTTCGGTGTCGTTCAAGGAACCGATGATTGTGGCGACCCCAGGGTCAGGCCAATCGATGACTTTACGGCTTCGCTAGTGAACAAAGCCGTGACCACCAACGAGAAGGCTCAGGTGCACACATTGGATGTGATGTCTGCCGCTTTGTCAACATGGATGAAGCTCTCATCGCAGACACAAGGCGGTTGTTGCCGCTTGGTGGGGAAGACTTATGATCTCACATCGGCTTATCGCCAGTTGCCGCTGAGTCCGGAGATGGAGCGTTTCAGCCACATTGCTGCTTGGTGCCCCGAATCCGGTTGCGCCGAGACCTTTCGCTTGAAGTGTTTGCCTTTCGGAGCTACCGCCTCTGTATACCACTTTCTTAGGTGTTCAGCAGCACTGTGGTACATCGCCTGTGTTGGGGGGAGCCTCTTGGTGACGAGTTATTTTGATGACTTTCTGTTGGCCTCTCCAGAGGAACTCAAGACGTCCTCGGCGAACTTTTTAGAGTTCATCCTGCTGGCCACCGGCTGGACGTTCGCACGCGATGGCGACAAAGCCACGGACATGTCATGCACCATCCAAGCCCTTGGGGCTCTGATTTGCTTGGAGGGTGTCCCCAGGGGGATTGTCGAGATCAAAAACACTGAGTCTCGGATTTCAGAGTTGGTGAGCAGCATCGGTCAATGCCTCGAAGCATCGAGACTGGACAGAGGGGCAGCTGAGAAGCTGCGTGGCCGGCTGGGGTTCGCAGAGAACCATGTCTTTGGACGCACCGGCGTGTTGGCCCTGAAGGCATTGACACAGCACATACATGCTCCCAAGTTCGTGTCAGAGTTGTCATTCTCTGTGTCCCTCGCCCTCCAACGCTATCAAGAGAAGCTGCAGGAACCAAGGGGCCGATTGATTGCGCAGCATTCTGTTTGCCCATGCTTTGTGTTCACTGATGCTTTCTTCGAGCCCCCTGAGGTGCCGAAACCCCCAAAGGCTGGCGTCGGAGGAATTTTGTTCAATGAGAATGCAGAGCTGATGTCATGGTTCTCCTGGCAGTTGCCTTCATCGACGCTGGTCGACTTCATCGATGTCGGTGCAAAGACCCTGATCTTTGAACTCGAGTTTCTCGCGGTCCTGCTGGCGATTGAATGCTGGCGCAGCCATTTGTGCGAGAGACCGGTTGTTGTCTTTGTGGACAACAATGGTGTCCGGGATTCATTGTTGAGTGCTCGCACCAAGAGTGATCAAGGCCAGATCGTCCTCGAAGCTATTCAGCTATTCTCCGCTTGGAAGAAAGCATGAGCCTGATGGCATGGTTCGCAAGAGTTCCGACTTGCGCCAACCCGGCGGATGCACCTTCTCGAGGCGAGGTGGCCCATCTCGATGGAGCTGTCAGATTGCCAGATGATGTCGTTTGTGACTGCGCAAGTCGCTTGATGACGGCCATGCTCGAACGAGCGAAGGCGCCCGTGCCTGTGAAAGGGGGAAAGAGGACGGCCTCGTGAGATTCCCCAATGTTGTCTGAGAAAAAGGAGCGAATGAGCTTGCTCAAACGAAACAACAAAGGTGTCAGTTTCATAGTGCTTTGAATCATGTCTTGCACAATGAATGTACTGTTTGCGTGTGCCTTTTGCCTCGATCATTCAAAGCAAAATAAAAGAATGTCGCTTAAACTGATAGGCGCTTCGCACGAATAGCCTACATAAAATGTAAGTCAGCTCGCTGATGCATTATTATTGCAGCGTCAGCCTTTCGCAAAATTTCTTGATGGAAAATTACATCATAACATTTGCTAACAGTGACATAGGCTTATAACAGACAACCTGAGCCATTAAAGATTTGTTGCAGCCTTTGTCCTGCCGTTCGAGCATATGATCGATCGAACAACCGCTTACAGGCTCAGACATCAATTGCATGTTCATGTGATTGCACCATGACAATGAGAACATGCGCTTGCAAGATGTTGGCATTAACCCTGTGACATGTGCTTTTTCTTTGCCCGCCCTCCACTCCCTGTGGAGGCCACTTCGTGTCCTCGATGCACTTTGTATGCCGGACGCCCCATGCGTCCTTCATTGCGTCGATGCTGCCTGCCTCGACTTGTTCGTTCCCTCCTGCCTAACCCAGCCGTCAAGAGGACGGCCTCGTGAGATTCCCCAATGTTGTCTGAGAAAAAGGAGCGAATGAGCTTGCTCAAACGAAACGACAAAGGTGTCAGTTTCATAGTGCTTTGAATCATGTCTTGCGCAATGAATGTACTGTTTGCATGTGCCTTTTGCCTCGATCATTCAAAGCAAAATAAAAGAATGTCGCTTAAACTGATAGGCGCTTCGCACGAATAGCCTACTGTAAGTTAGCAATAAAAGAAAATACGGACCTCCCTTATGCAGGGGGAGGCAGCACACGCCCGCCCAAAAAGCTCCCGAGCAGGAAGCGGAAGGAGCATGGGGGGCGTGCAAAGTGCAAAATGGGATGGATAGAGCGGTCATCAAAAGTCACTATCCACAGACATGCATGGCCCTGGTGAGACTGGTGAAACCGAAATATATCCTAGCATGGTACATTGTGCCATTGGCTGAGTGCAGACCCCCACACACAGACGAAGAAGTGAGGTTCTCACCTGGGTGCCAATCGTCAACTGTTCCACCGCCGTGCGCCAATCGCCGGCCAGGAGCTGAGGCTCACACGAAATTGGCAAACAGCTGATCCATACTGATTGGCCAGCGGTGGCAGGTTAGGCCTTTGCTTGACTGGCTTAGTACTGTGGCATGTTGTGGGCGTGCTGGGCACTCTTTCCCTGCAGGTCTTCAAATCTGCCTACATCATTTGTTCTATGGGGTTGGGTGTGCGCCCAGACAAGCATGTGCTATAGTGCATTCGAAGGTACACGCAAGCAGGAGTGGACGAGCTTGGGCTAAGTCTGACACATAGCCCTGGTCCGGAATCATGTGCAGCCACTGCGGCCATCGCGCGGCAGGGCAGATAGCGAACGCATTCTCCTCTGCGTACGTCCCCCGCCATGAAAAGCCCTGCTAGCAATGTAATGCAGTCATGAGGGTGGGATAGCAAGTTCTGGTAGTGCCGCACAGTTCATAAAACCTTTCACTCTGATTGTGTGCACTGAGTATGGCAGTCTGACCTCTAAGGACTTGGAAATCTTGAGTTAACTCTAGTGTAGTGATTCCGGTGGAGCTCAGACATCCTGGCGGCAATTCCTTAGCCTCATCCTGGGTCTGTAGCTCCTGGCGGCGGCCATCCTCCAGAAGGACAAAGGTGGCCAAGTTGATGCAGTCTCGAAAAAGGTAGTGTCCAAATTTGGTTGCGCTTCCAAATCACGAAAGGTAGCCCTTCAGGGGATACCTTGAGTTTGTCTTGCGAAGCAAGTGTTGGGACGTCCGGGTCTAATAGTTGATCATTCAATTCAACCCCCCCCCACCCCCCCCTCGAATTGATTTTTCAATACAGACCCCCTCCCCTTGGAATTGATTTTTCAATACAGACCCCCCTCTAAATTCAATTCTCTCCTCGAGAACGTTTTCGTGCGCCTCTCATGATTTCAGGATAGTTGAAACCCTCTTGAACATTCAGAAAGAGTGCATAATCACGAAAGGTGTTCCCCGAGGGGATACATACCTAGAGTTTGTTTTGTGAAGCGCGTCAATTCTCTCCTGGGGAACGTCTTCGTGAGCCTCTTATGGTTTCAGGATAGTTCAAATCCTATGATGCTCCGATTCAATGCTCACCGATGATGCAATTGGAGCCGAAGCCTGGCAATGCTGCCGCCATCTTCGGGTGGTCAGAATGCCCAGTACTGTTGCGCGAATTGCAGATAACACCTTTCGAGGTTGCCAGCTGCTCAATAGCGTCGCCGTACCAGGCTGCATTGAATTTGGATACAAAGCATTTGCGGACTGTTGCTCCTTGCAGTGGATCCACGCTAATGGGGGAGGGGTTAACCAACTTGAGAGGAGGGAGACACGAAAGGTAGGACAGCGGGAAGAGAAGAGAACGCGAGAGGCAGGAACAAAAATGCAATGTTCGACATGGTGATTTATCCCCTCGGAGGCGACCTGTCGTAAATATATGTTCATATGCGCTCTAAATGCTCTCGAAATGTTCAAAAAGATTCTGAGGAAAAGAAACTTGCCCCATGGCTCAGATTGCCTGCCTCAACACTGACATGGCGCAGGCGCGGCGCAGCAACAAAGGCGCCGGAGGGTCATTGGAACTTTGACTGCTTGTGGGATATCTCGATATGGACATCCGTCGAAGGTTTCCTCTGAATGAAGAGCTTCGAGGCAGAAGTACTATGGTAAACTGCGTGTTATTTTGCAAGGTTTCCCATGTTGGGCCGTCGAGGTAGGCTTGCATAGTGGGGTATGAAGTCCAGCATACATCCAAAGACATCAAGGTCAGTCACTGAGGCCAGGTAGTCAACTACATGGTCTTCTAGGTCTGTCATGCTTGGCATCATTTCCGCCACTGTTCCAGACAGGGTCGTGAGCACCAATCGGCGCTCCATCTCCTTGGACGAGTCGAGACTGGAGGCACTAGGGGTCGCCATTGGCTCCAGCCTGTACGAGATCTCCTGGTTTGAGCCAGGACGATGCGGCCGCTAAACAATCAGTAGTGGTCTTCTCGTGAACGTGCAAAGGGCCGGCTATCTACCTGGCTACTAAGTTGCTACATGCGGGAGCACCTAACTGATGTATACGGACAGAGTGAGGATGAGATCTACAGGGTTGGAGCTCCTTTGCCTTTGCCCAGGACAAGTGCTGAGGCACTCACCCAGGGTAAGCCCCTCACTAGTGAGCAGGGGCACCCTGTCAGTAAAGCCCTTTGTGGAGCTCTTCGTCAAAGGCATCCGAGTCCGTATCTCTCGGGAGCAGTTCAATCCAAGACTCTCGTGAAATCCAAGTTCTCAGCCCTCCATCCAAATGTTGACAACCCAAAGGACGCCACGCTAGAGATGTTGGACATGAAGCTCACAGACTTGCTGAAGCCTTATGGTGAGGAGGTTTCAGATGTGGTTTCCTTGACAGCCGCAAAGTTGGTGGAGGGCATGAGGATCGCTTTGCAAGGTTTGAACCTTGCCTGCAAGAGACAGCAGAATGCTTGGCGAGCCTCATTGTCCAACGATGCATCCATTCAAGAGCTTTTGAAGGCGGCCAAGGATACCATTGGGAACCTCGATGCAGACGCGGTTGAGAAAAACATCGAGTACTTGAAGGAGGCTTGGGATTCACCAAAAGCAATGTGGGATAGAGCAGGTAGGTGAGACCTAGACTTAGAGTTATAGACTAGTGACTAGAGTCACTAAAGTGACTAGGTCTAAAGAGTTTGCTTGACTGCTTCCTCACTGGTTCTATTCTAATGAGAAATTCTTAACAAGCTGACGCTGCCATTTCCATATTGAACATGATGACAGCTGACCTTTATTGAATTTCTACATTCTACACTTTCTGTTGGATACAAGTACAGTTATATACTCAAAATGGATTTGAGTTGACATCTCAGACAGCTCTCCAGCATGCGCAGGCCCGAGAGAAAGCAGAACAGTTCCACAAGAAGATGTCCAAGCAAGCTCCCTTTGCTGACTCAGCACGTTCTTTGGCACAGGAGATGGAGACGACGCAGGGGGAGATCAAATCCGCTCAGTTGCTTCGCATGGAAGCCATTCTGCTTGTGGCAGCTGGCTGTGAACCAGTCAAGGAAAGGTTCTGGCGCGCCAACAGAACTTGCTTTTGTCACCCAAGCGCCTTCTGATTAGTTCAGGTGATGTACGCCCAACATTGTACAAGAAGTCGCAAGATCTCATGGACTAAGCCTTAAGCCAGTCCTATTGCCATTTTGCCATGCTCACAGCCCTGGAGTCTTGTTGGCTCAACTGCACTTTTGGTAGTCAATCATCAAATTGAAGTTCTTTAGTAGGGAATAGAGTAGAGTAGAGTAGAGTTTTTCTTCTGGTATTGGAAAATATCTGATGTGCTTTGGGCAGTGATTGATGGCCGACAGCCTAGCTGACAAACCTATCCTGGAACATTCGTGATGCGGGAGAAAAAAGGATTGAGCAGCAAGTCTCAGAAAGGTACTCTTTTTGCAGGTAGAACCATGAGGCAACTTCATATGTAATGTTGTTGTCGTTATCATTTACCTTGGGCTCTCTACGCGACACCCTTTGATTCATGTATGTCGTTTATTTCCATAGAATTCTTCTTCACACTTGTACATATTTTTCCTAGTTGATGTGTGCGTGATGATTTCCCCTTTAAAAAATCCTATTCTAAAACCTAATTATCATTCTATGTTGAATCCTATTTTCTTGGATCGTGATTTTTATCTACCTATTTTCCTTCTATTTTTCAGTTGTTTCTCTCATTATTTCAATCGCCTTTGCTCAGGGCCTATTTGCAATTCTATCATTTTTTATTTATTTTTCTTAAACTTATCATTTTAGATTTTCTAGACTTTCCATTAGCTTGTCATCATAAGATTACTGCTTATGTGGATGGGCGAGAATTTGAGATGTTGTGCGTTCTCATTTTTGTGAGTGGCATGTTCGTTGGAGGAGTTCTGGCGAAACTATGTTGCCGTTCAGTGCAAGTGGTGATTGATTCGAGGAGTCAACATGAGTCAATGAGAAAGAAGAGCGCGAGAGATGTGAGCGTTGAAGTGAACGAGATGATCCCGCCAGTGTTCCCAGATTGGCTTGATATGCGTGATACATACTACCAAACTGAAAAGGGAACAGTGTTGCACCTGACACCGTTCTGCAGCTATGCCAAAGGCCGTGCTTTGTCCCGCTTTCATTTCTGCAAGAAGTGTTTGAAGACGAGGCGTGAGGAGAGTCCCAAGCAGCAGAGTGGTGTTGACACTTGACCTTGAAAGGGGGTGTGAAAGTGTATGGCCGTGCTACACTAGTGGCGAGGTCAGTTTACAAGCAGCTGTATGAGGAACAACTGTTTTGAGAACAGTAGTGTTCATGTCTAAGTGCCTTGTGAAGCCTTAGCTGTGAGGTTTTGCATTTTCAATGCTTGGGCAAGCGTTCCTTGACGGAACTTTGTGTTTCGAAGTGTTTTGAGAGCTTCGGAGAGCATAGCTCATGGAATGTACAATGTTTAGAAGCTTTGTGAACAGAAGCTTTTGTAGTGTGAATGTTTCTTGAGCAGTTATGTGCATGTTTGAGTGCGTTTAAGCTCGACACTTTCAGTTAGCTTGTATGCAGGAATACCTCATAGCCCTTTGTATTTTACTTGGGCTCAAGGCCCAGAGAGTGCGCGTAAAAGTGGTGCGAGTGCTTTTGCGTTGCTTGTGAGCTGTTGCTCGTGCTTTCGCTTTGTGTTTAGGACGTTTGTAATCTACTTCCTTAAGGTAGTAGGTTTTTCAGGGTTGGACCTCCGCCGCAACGAATGGCCGGAACCTTGTTTGCTTGCTTGGTTTCTTGGTCGGAGCTGCTGGCAGACACCGCTTTGCAACTTGAGGCGCCTGTCTGAAGAGGCCATTTGGACGAAGCGTGTGGATCGATTTGGGGCAACTGGTGTTTCAAACACGCATTGATGGACAGGCGCTTCTGCATGGTTTGTTTACTAATGCCGTCGGACTTGATCCAAGGACCACGCCAGCAACCAAGCAATCACAGCAAGCCAAACCAAAGAAAGCTAGCTCAATGAGCAAGCCAAGCCACAGCCAACCAAGCAACCAAGCAAACCAACGAGCAACAACCAAGCAGACCAGCGCCCAATCCATTGTTGCAGTCTCTTCGGCTTAATGTGCAGTCAGGCCGCAGTAAGGTCCCACACCAAGGATCGAGCTGCTGCAGGGCGACCACGCCTCGAAACGGGGGGTTGTAAGGTCTTGAACCGAAATCGGAAAGTAGCGAGAGCTCACAAAACCAAAAGTTCTCACCATGCTGCTTGTCATCAGCAAGCTTGGTTGCTTGTTTGGCGGCTGGTTCACTTGGGTGCCAACTCAGTTGGTTTTTGTTTGCTTGATGTTTGCTTGCTTGCTTGCTTGCTGGCTGGCTGGCTGGCTGGCTGGCTGGCTGTTGTTGACTGGCTTTCTGGCTGGCTGGCTGGCTTGGTTGCTTGGTTGCTTGGTTGCTTGCTTGCTTGTTGGTTGTTTGGTTGCTTGGTTGCTTGGTCTTGCTTGGTTGGTTGCTTGGTTGGTTGCTTGGTTGCTTGCTTGGTTGGTTGCTTGGTTGCTTGGTTGGTTGGTTGGTTGCTTGGTTGGTTGCTTGGTTGCTTGCTTGCTGCTTGGTTGCTTGCTTGTTTGTTTGCTTTCTTTTTCGTGTTAACTGGGTCGGTTGTTTGTTTGGTTGCTTGTTCCCCGCTTGATCTCCTGACCCGTGACTTCCTTTCCGCGAGGCGCCCAACAGGGCAGACAGGAACAGGTTTTCATGGGCACTGAAGAAATCGCTCAGAGCGGACACTGGGAAGTTGGGAAGGCCCCCGGCCACCTTCGAAAATATATGGGCGGTAGGCCGAATGAAATTGCCCCTCACAGCACCACCTTCGCCCAGGGTGAACGGCTAGTTACGGCGCTGAAATTCCAAAAGGTTTTGTGTGAAACCATAAAAAGATCGCAAACAGTACTTTGTATTCTTCATTTGTGCGACATCGTGTGTGTGTTTCCATGCATGTGTGCGCTCTTTTCCCCCTATTCGTCCGGCGAGCCAGCAAGCGGTTCTTTGCGGTGTCACCGCCATTTGTTACGGCTGCCGGGTTGCTTAGGTTTGATGGTCGTTCGTGTCAAGACTCCCGGTTTCCTCCATTTGCGCCGTGGGCGGGAATAGCATGTTTGCCCTCTCAAACCCATGAGGGAGCGCTTCGCCACGGCCTGTGCTGGTTGCGCGTTTCAGTCTTGTCAGTTTTTTCTGGCTTGACAAGATGCAGATCAGGTCAGCTCAGAGGCAGACAATTCGCTGAATATGAACATGTGTCTACATCATCCGTCTAATCCGCAACCTTTCTTCCCCTTCGCAGCCCACTTGAGGTGTCGCTTGGTGGCAGTAGCCGCGGGGTCGTCATGAGCGGATGGTTTGTGTCAGTACTTTTCTCCCAAATGGGGTGTGTTCCCGTGTTAGGCCACAATGCTGCACAGAGTGTCAAGGCAAATCTCCAGGCAGCCGCCCTTGATGGCGCGGGATTGACTTCCCGCCCGCCACCGCGGAGCTTGCATCACGCCTCTGGTGACCTCCACTAGCCTCCATTCCTTTGACCGTAAGTGCGGCCTGTGTCAGACCTTGCCCTGCCTGAGCGCGCGTTGCTGCGCTCCTAGTCCGGCTCTTAGCCGCCGCAGGTCTACTTCGGCCATCCGGATCAACCTGGGGCCGACCCTGGTCCTTTCCACTTCCACCGAGGCCTCTGGCGCTGCTGCGATTCCTGTGGCTGCAGCCTCGGCGCGCTGCGGTGGCACAGGCAACCAAGGTTTGGCCGCCTTTTCGATGGATACGGCGATCACCAACCCACGTGCCCTTGCTCAATGACCACTGCCACCTCGACTTTGTTTTCCATGTCTCCACGCTCCTCAGCGAAGCCTTGTGCTGCGACGTCACCTTCCGCGTTGAATGCAAGAAACTCCTTATGAAGCAGGGCCGCCGCAAACCTCATGCTCACATTGAGCACCCATGCCCCTGTTTGGCTTGGGTGACAAGTCGGGGGCAGGTGGAGCCAAGGAGCGGCCAACTTCATCCGGCTCTTGGCCAAGCCCAAAGCCCGGCAAGCCCCCGCCATCCTGCAACCCGCCGGTCAGCCCTCCTAAGCCACGCCGCCAGCCAGACTTTTGCAGCCACACCCTCCTCACTGAAGAATTGCCCCCCCAGCACAACGTCGACAACAACTTTCCTCCATCAGCCAACTTCTTGCGGAATCCCCGCTTACACCCCCCCACCTCCAGCCACCTACCCCCCTAACAGTTTTTTTTCACATCGAGAGACTGGCCAGTATAAAAACAGTCAGCTGCAGCACATCTGGCGACGGGCCAGTATATAAACCGTCCAGCGAGAGACCCACGCGAGAAAAAGGCGCGAGGAAGAGAAAACAGTTCAAAACCCTACCTGGCCTTCGATCAACGCGCCTACGGTGCAACAATTCCAGATGATTATGGGGTTGAGCAGCCAACCCTCAAGACCACCAGCATCAACGCCACAAAAAAGTGGGATATGTTTGAGATCATGTCAACGCGGTGCGGTGGCTCACGTGAACATCAACGACTTGAGGGACTTCATGAACAGGTCTACGCCGTCACTGAGAACACCCCTCACCGGAGCTCTTCGCAAGTTGGCTTTCTCGCATGCCCAAGAGGAAACTCGGATCGCACAGGGACCTCATCAACATGGGTGAAGCAGCTCACCTTCACATTCCGATGGCCACTGCAGATCAACCAGTTGGCCTCCCAGATCCTGCAGGTCATCCTGCTCGGGATGGCGGTGACTTGAACTCTCCAAAGGCCGAGCCGGCCAGAAACTTCTGCCCGAGCAGCAGCACCTATGACAGTGGACACTCCCTATGCACAACAGGATCGAGCCCCACGTTTCGATCAACAGGAGACCATATGGACCCGCAAGAGGACCCAGACTGATGATGGTGATGCTGAACTCAGCCTCCGCAGTTTTGACAAGGCGACGCCTCTTCCATCGGGGTGGCCTATGATGAGACCTTGGGGACACCAAAAATTGGTATACCAACCCTTCAATTCAGTCCTCCATCCCACGGTGGTCTGCCATGCTCACGCTGGCAGCGCCAACGCTTTTTGCTGCCAGCCTCATCCTCCAAGACTCACCTGCCCACACAGTACCAAATCGGGACACACCAGGACGCAGCACCCTCTTTCAGCAGCACCCCGGCACCCCTCCTCTGGCATCCCGCCCCTTTCTTCGACCGCGAGGCCTCGCC